TCAGCTGCTTTCAAGTTTTCACGATTATAACAACGGTGGCACTGGACATACATGTAACTTTACATATTTTGAATTATTTTCTTAGGCAAGGTTGCCAGAAGCAAGACTAGGAGTTAATAGGTATCGATGTTTTCAGATTAGCTGATGCAAGTTTATGATGTGCTCTTTGAAATATCTCTTCTGTAAATATTTTTGATACATTTTCCTCCCTTTTTCTTTGAAGAAAATACTTTAAGAAAACTGAAGACACTTCTTTTCAGTTAGATATATTCTTTTAAATTTGATAACCATTGACCCTTTCCCCCTGTTATTTCTAACAGAGGCTATAACTTGTGTGATTTTCATGGTTTGTTTTCTTTTTTTTGTGCACCTTTATCATTAACAAAATCAGAGTGTATAAAGGATTATATCTCAGACTATAGCCAGGAGTCAGGGGTCAAAACAAAGGTTTTTAAAGTATTGACATTAAAAAGCTAACTGTTAGAGAAAATTAAAAGTAAATGAAGAAAATCAGTGATATTTAGAATGTAAATAACACTGGTTACTTATTGGAAGGAAAGTTATTAGGTCAAATTACGGTCTATATTTAATGCTTGGCAGAATCTCTTTAGGTTAAGCCTCTTTTAGTTAATTTGATCAAACCACTGAGCTGAAATGCAAAATGACAAACTTATATGAATCCATATACACAACTTTCAGAAGAAACACTGTGATGATAAAAATATGAATTATGAAAATACCTTGCAATAGAAGACATTCTGTAAGGCCATTCCTGTGCATGAGACAAAGGAGCCATCTGATGGAATGAGAGCAGAAACATTTCTGAAGTGGGAAAAACTTCTCTGGTGGAAATGTGGAAAGAATCAGAATCAACCTGTTGTAGAATTTTGAGATTGTCTACATTAGGCATGGATTAGGTTTGCACATTTATGCTAAGAGATCAAAATGAAACTGAATATCTGTGCTTATGCTCATGGTTTCTCCAACATGGTTTACTTCATTCTTCTCTGTCTTCAGCTCAGTGTCCCTTTTTCTGTTTAAACTTGGCCTAGTTTTTCTGGCTATCTGAAGACTCTATTTATAAAATATCCTGCCTGTTTAATAATAGCAGCACTAGAGGCCAAGTAGGAGAATGTTGGACACACGGTCCCCTCTGAGAATCCTCAGACTACTTGACATAACTCACTTATCTGAGTGGTTCCTTTAGTTTATTGGGTTCAGAACCTGGTGCTGCTTATATAAGACATTAAAGTCTGACTCAATGGGAGACATATCCTGTAAGTTAGGGGTAACCCAGGAGGTAACCTAAAATGAAGTATCTTCCCAACGGAGATCCCAGTAATGCATGGTGCCTGGGTAAATAACAATCAGGACTAACATCTATTGAGTATTACTATGCACCAAGCACTGCTTGTTCAACATAAAGGTGCAACCAGAAGATTTGTCAGCTGCAACTGCATTGCTGACTGCTTGAGAAACATTTCCAAACTGGTAAGTAAGCAACTGCAAAGAGTCCCCCCAAATCCTCCAAACGTCTATGGCTGTCTCTTGAACCTCTCCACATTCCGTGAACTAAAGAGTTAACACCTGGCCCTGTAGGAGCTCTCTAGAATTCTGCTCTAACCCCCAGCACCCCAGCACCCCAGGGGCATTCTTACTGACAGTATTCATTTAGGGTACTTTAAGTACTTGTGCTCTAGTGTCAATTGCCTGCGTTCAAATCCTAGCTCTACTACTTATAAGATGTGTGATTTGGGGCCAATTAGTTTTTTTTTTACTCAGTTTTCCTCACTTCTAAAATGGAGATGATAATGTATCTATCTCAATGGATGGTTTTGAGACTAAAATGAATATACACAGAGCATTTAGAAGAGACTTAACACATAGTAGATACAATAAAAGTGTTATTTTTATTAGCTGTGCTAACAGTTAAATATATTAACCATCATCTCTCAGTACCATACTAGGTACCACTGCTGGGGAAAAAAATAAGGTCACTGCAGCTATCATTAAGCTCAGAGACCCTCTAGAACTGCTGATGTTCTAAACAGCATTCTAGTCTGAGATCTTCTATGTGGTAGTTGAGAAACTTTCTTTTCTTCTTTACTCTCTACTTTACACTGTAAATAAATTGCCAACATTTTAAAAAAATCATAAAATTTAACATAAAAATCCAGATTTCTGGCATGCCTTTGGAGATTTGAAAAATTGGCATCACTGGGGCCACATTTTGTCATGGCAACAACTGGCTAGAGCCACATGTTGGCTCCTTCCTGGGAAAGGGTGTCAGCTCCGTGTTCACCTCTAGCCCACAGTGTCTCTTTGTTATCTGGCTGGAATTTGAGTTAGCTATCCCTGAACTCCCCCAATCTCTTTCTTTACAACATTGAAGTCTTCAATTTCCATAGCAATACTTTCTTGCCAGTTCTTGATTGTAAGATTCTTTATGAAAGAGATCATGTTTTATTTATTTTTATGTCTTTGCCTTTGCCTTACCGATCGCAGGTTACCCATAGTTCTCATTATTTGGATTGATGAAGCTTAAGCTGGTGATGAGTTAAGATAGTTTTAACCCTTACACAGGAAAGAGTTATAAAAAAATTTGCAAAATAATATGTAATTGAGGAAGTTGAGTGAACAAGTTTTTATGAGTCACACAGATAATATTCAAATTGGAATTCCATCTAGTTCAACTGTCAGGCTGTGGTGATGTGGGAAGCTCCTTGAATAATTCCTATTCTTCCATGGCAGTCATATGGCCTTGAACAAATTTAACTCCTGTGGACCTATTTCTGCCTTGGCAAAAATTTAGACAATAGCAATGTTCCCTGGGTGTTTTATAAGTATTAAATGAGACGTAATATTGTCTGGTTATAAAATACTTGTAAAATGTTAATATACTTGCTGAGCATTTGTATTTATCTCAGTGTTTCTAGATGAAAACATCAAAGTTTCAGTAGGACTTGCTACTTAGTTAAAAGTCAGAATTAGAACTCAAACCACATGAATCCTGGCTAATATGTTTTTAAATGAAACACCATTCATATTCTAACTAAATTGAAAGATTAAGGAGAATAAAAATACTCTACTGTAGGCGAGATAAACCGGGAATCCCCTAAATTAGTTTCAGCTATTATAGCTATGTCTGTACTCTGGTCATCTTCGTATGTAAGAGAAAGTCAAAGGACTGAACTAAATGTATTCTTCATCTGACAAAAACTTTTTTTGAGCATCTACTATGAAGTCAGAGGCACGGATTATGACTTAGTTCTTGGGTTTTTATTGGTGAATTTCCCAGGTTAGTAACCAGGTGAATTGTCTGTGTTGTTTTCTTAAGAAACTTTTCCTGTTCATCTGTATTATATGAAGACATGTGAATGTTACAAAAATGAACTTTCTCTGGGCTTGAGTCTCTGGCATTTTGGAAGCAGAATGGCATTTGGAAATCAGAAGAGCTGTTTGTAAACTTCATCTTCCATTCACTCATGTGGTCTTGGGCTATCACTTTTATCACTTGTAAAATGGAGATTCAACTACCTTGAGGATACTGGTATGCTCAGGAAAGGTGCCTGGCAAAGTGCTCAATTTTAGCATATTCTTATGTCAGTTTTATGTTAGAGTCCGAAGCTGGAAGAAATCTTAAAGTTTATCTCATTAGATTTCTTTGACCTGTATATTAAGTGATCCCCAAAGAGTTAAACTAATGTAAATGCTAGTCTGCTCAGTTTTCTTTGATATTTATATACCTGCCCAAATATTTCATTTTCTAAACAATACTTCTTTAAAAAAGAAACAAAGGCATATATTTATAAAAATATTTACCCAAAATACTATGATATAATGTACATTTCTGGCAACGTCATTTTAGAAATGGTAAATATGCACAATAGGTTAGTATATTTCTATCAGAATCCTATCAGAAGTGTATTGAGAAATTTTACACAAGTATTTATTTATTTTAATTTTATTATTATTCTTTTTTTAATCCTCACCTGAGAACAATTTTTTCCATTGCTTTTCAGAGAGAGTGGAAGGAAGAAAGAGAAACAGTGATGTGAAAGAGACACATTGATTGGTTGCCTCCCACACACCCCCTGTGGGATTGAGCCTGCAAATGAGCCTGCAACCCTTGGCTGGAATCGAACCCAGGACCCTTCAGTCTACTGGCTGATGCTCTAACCACTGAGCAAAACTGGCCAGGGTTTTACACAAATATTTAAGTAAAATCATAAACTACTAGAAAAAAACTATCTCACAATAAGTATCATATGATCCAAGTATAAGATTATCTGGAGTGAAAAAGATGACAATATTCTAAAAAGTGAAACTTTAAAATAACAAAAAGATTTTATCTTGTGAAATATATCTATGTTAATATAGAATCAAATATATCATAATTACATAGAAACACACACACAAATTTTCCCCCTCTTTCAGTCTTCAGAGGCTGAATTGGTTTTATTGATGGATGCAACTGTGCCCCAGCAGCCACTCTGGTCATGTATTTATATAACTTGCCCCCAGATATGGAACTTCCCAGAACCTGCTCTTCAAAAAGACAAGAGTTCAAAACATTTTAGAATGTAGTTTTTGAGTCTGGCCCTGACACTTTAGTTTTCCCTGAAACCATAATGTTTTTGTTAAAAACATTAAAAATACCAGTGTCAGTGTCAGCTTAAAAAAACCCAACACTTTAACATTTTTTTTTTTTTTAATGTTTTTATTGATTTCAAAGAGAGTAAGGGAGAGGAAGAAAGAGATAGAAACATCAATGATGAAAGAGAGTCAGTGGTCGGCTGCCTCCTGCTCATCCCCTACTGGGGATTGAGCCCCCAACCCGGGCATGTGCCCTGACCGGGAATCGCTCTGTGGTCTCCTGGATCATGGATCTATGCTCAAATGCTGGGCCATGCTGGTCGGGCTTATCAGACCTTCTTGACAACCAAATTTAGTTGTGTGCATGATCTGTTATTGGACTTTTTGTTTATTAACTATTACAGGATGCGAAAGATGGAGGTAATGAGACCGAAGGCAGCAGGATGAGTAAGTTAAGAAGGACAAGAAAGAAAGTCATGAAATCACAAATTCCTTCAGCTGAAATAGGACAGATGGACTTATCCAACTCAAAAGGTACCTTGTACAACTGCTCAGCTAGCTTAATCAGTAGAGTGTGAGACTCTCAATCTCAAATATCATGCTACTATTATCCCTCAAAAATATGTGGTCAATGACAATCTCTCTTTGGTCCACATTTTCATAATAAACTTGCTTTTCTTCTATGGAAGAAGCAAAAACAAATAAAATTTATTTCTATATGGGCAACATAAAAGATGGTGAAGTTATGAAAACAATGTCAAAATGTTCTGAATTTAAAGGGGGTAGAACGAGGAGATATAGTGGGGAAAAAGAGAGAACATAAAAGAAGAAACATACAAGTAAGAAGAGAGCCCCATGTCTGTTCTGCAAATGAGCACGAAGGTCATTACTGAAGATCTGGGAGGCACAAAAAAGGTGTGGAGCACGCTTTCATACCACATGCTGGAGTTCCAACTAGACTCTAATGGGTCTGAAACAGTGCTGAAACCAGGAGTTAACTTGGACAACAGACTCAATTCTAGAAATAGTGGTCTTTTCCAAGGCCAGTCAGTAGGAACGGCCAGTGCATGGCAACAATCAAAAGCAGTCAGGCTCTTTATAGATTCTTAAAATTGTTTTTAAATTCTGCCTTATGGCCTGCAGCTAGGGTGGATGATGCCCACTGTCCCTTGTTTGGTATGTCACTGCCTAGGAATAAATTGTTTCCTCAAGCATTTCTGTCCATATTGAATGACAGTTGAAAACAATGGCAACATGCCTTAACACTTTTTTTTATTACTACAGAAAAGATAAAAAAAGAAATGGTGTGCCACAAATTAGGGGATACAAGCAAACCAGTTGTGGGACCTGGCTCTGCTGAATCTCATCCACAAGATGACAAGGACTTCCAGGATCAGACAACAGTGATAAAACCCTCCCCTCTCAAAACATTGGAGAGCCCTCCTGGTGGTGAATTCGACCCAGACTCCAGCTGTACTGGTAAGGACTCTGGGACAAACTGGCATATGGTTCCAGCCTCTAATCCCAAATTTGTATTTAAATTAGAAATAGTGAGATGTTGGTTGAGGAATGCTAGCCTGGGAGTCAGAATACTTAAAAGAATTTATAAGGCTATCATTTATAAAGTGACTTACAGTTTTCTTTTATAAAGTGCTCTCTTTTTCAGGTCAACATCAGAGTGTAAGACCTCTGGGTTCTTGGCTGGAAGCTCTAAAGCAGTATCCACTTCCAGTTCATTCAGTCCTTACAGTTGTAGGACGGAGGTTCCTATTTCCTTGCTGGCTGTCAATTGGGGTGGCCCTTACCTCCTAGAATCCTCTCTCTGGTTCTATATCTCAGAGCCAGCAATGTCTCAAATCCTTCTCATGTTTAGAATCTCTTCGAATTCCCCTTCTTCCACACTTCTTTTCTGTCTACACCTGAAGAAAGTTCTCCACTTTTAAGGGCCCACCTGGATAATCTAAGATAATTAAAGTTTTTATATAACCTTAATTATATCTTCAAAGTCCCTTTTGCCATGCAGTTTGGCATAATGTACAGGTTCTAGGGTTTAGGGTGTGAAAATATGCCTATCATACCATTTCTTATCTCTGCATTTTTCTGTGCTTTTGGTTTCATGAATTTCTCCAGGAAAAGCATGAGCACTGAGAGTCCTCGAGCATCAGAGATTATCATCATAAGTGCCATAGGGGCCAGTCAAATAAACAAATGAGTGAGGTGGGCTGGTATAAGAAAATAGGGAGTGGTACTGGCTGTGAGAAACTAGAGCAGAGGTTGACAAACTACAGCCCAGATACCAAATTCTGCTTGAGGGCTGGCTTTTGTAAATAATATTTATGTGTTGTCTATGACTGCTTTGTGTTACAATGATATAGTTGCAATGGATATCATATAGCCTGCAAAGCTGCAAATATTTGCTAACTGATCCTTTAGAGACAGTGTTTTCCAACCCATGAGTTAGAGCATGCATGTCCCGTCCAGGCTACCTCAGAGCTCCAGCCAATGGTTGCTATGAAGAAATATCCACCCAGTGTTCCAAATCTAGTTTTATCAAGGGAAGCTTGAGCTCAAGATTTTTATATGAAAATTTTCTAATATTTGAGTGTCAACTAATTAAAAAAATTTAAACATTGGGAAGACTAATATGAAAACACCTGCTGACCACATTGGCTTTTCCACAAAAAGAGAGATGGAATTTATGATTTCTTAGTCTCAAGTCAAAAAAATCTGAGGAAAGAACTTGTGTCATGAGCTATGTTTGCACAAATCAACTAGGAGGTTGGGTACCATTATTGATTCAACTTAGTTAATTCAGGAGCTCCCTCTTTGGCCCAGTGCAGGATTACGTTAGCCCTAAGCACCAAAAACTTTACAACACCCAAACAAACCACCTTCATGTGTATTTTAAATACATAGTTTAAAATTAAATATAAAAATCATCCTCAAAATAAGTGCAAGGAATTTCAACATAGTATTTTCTTCTCTGTGATATTTACTCTGAGTTAAATATATATATATATATTTATATGTAAAAAATATATAATTTTTTTTATTCAAAGGAAAGGTCCCCACCCCCCTGCTCACATTTCCACATTTTGTTGTGTCTGTCCCTGCTTTGTACAGGTTATTCTGCCACTGGGGCTTTCCAGCACTGCTGGGCTAACTTGATATGGCAGGAGGGTGGAGTACATTTGCATTAGCAGGGTGGCTCTCAGAGCAGCCAGTGGATGGAGGGGAGGCCCTTGAAAAGGAGTGTGGCAGATTATCTCCGGCATTCCATAAGCTGACTGATTACAGAGTATACTCTGAAATATACTTTTCCCTTTCTGAATTGGTATTTTTGAAAGTCCACATGCTTAACTAATCTGCCTTTTGTAAGTGACCATGGCTTGTTCTCTACAACTGAAGTATGTCCTCATTGTCACTGAACACAGGCCTTCTAGTTGCTACAGAGCTTGGAAGTGGGTTTTTTTTTGGTATATATTTTCTGATCCCCCTCCCAAACACTCACAGTGGTAAAACTTCCTCTAAAAGAGCACATTGATTTAATTTATGAGTCCTTTGAGGGGATGGAAAAGGAGAACACCTCCCAAGAACCACACTGTAAGAAAAAAAATGAGACCCTGAACTGGCAATTATCTGCCTGCTATTCATCATGGGCATCTGGGAAGGGCTGACCAACAGGTTTAATTGTAACCAACAAGTATGATTTATTTGAAGAAAAGAAATTCAGACAATGATGCAGCAAGATTAGTTACTGCCTTGAAAATGAAATTAGATTGGATAGGGTTCTTACAGTTGGTGAAATAATTGAACTTTTAAATGCAAAATCGATAGTTAGGATACTTGCCAAAATATGTGATGTCAATTTTTACTTGTTAATCAGACAAGGTCAAATCACATAGCATGTATTGATTAATTAATCAATCAATTAATTAAATTAATTAATTAATATATCCCTTTACTAAAGCCATTGAGTGCCTATGATATGCCTGTTCTGCTACAGGTACTAGGGATACAGCAGCAGGTAAAGCTCAGCTCTTGCTCTTGGAATCGACATGCAGGTGGGGAAAGACAGACAATAACATGTGTTCATACAACAAATACGCAGGTGGTGACGAGGGCTTTGAAGGAAACAAGAACAAGATGATATATTGTTATGGACTAAATTGTGTCTCTTCAAAATTCATGTGTTGAAGTCCAAACCCCTAGTACATCATAACATGACTGTAATTGGAGATGAGATTTTAAAAGAGGTAATTAAAGTTGAGTGAGCTGTGTAAGGTTTCCCCTAAGTCCAATATGACTGGTGTCCTTGTAAGAAAAAGAAATAAAGATACATATGCACATAGAGGGAAGACCATGTAAAGAAGACAGGCACCTGTAAAGAGAGAGGTTCTTAGAAGAAACCAACCCTCCTGACACCTTATTCTTGGACCTCTGCCCTCTAGAACTATAAGACAATAAATTTCTGTTAAAGCTACCTGGTCTGTGGTGTTTGTTATGGCAGCCCTAGCAAACTAATATATATATTCATTGTCTTGCCATACTGCAACTTGGTGATCTTAAACTGAATCAGTGGTTGGACCTGTGCACATTGTGATTCAATCTCATAGAATTAATATTCCAGGTGATTAGGCTTTATTCACTTTTTCAGCGTTTTTCACCATAAGTTATCTCAGCTTTGCATTCAATGGCATGGTTATTGTCTATAGTTCCCTTATTCAATAATATAAAGCTGTATGAGGGCAGGGATTTTTTTTTGCAGATTTCTAGACTATGTCCAGTATAAATAGTAGTGGTAACTAAAAAAAAAAAATTATCTTGAGTGGATCAATACTTTTCTTATTTTAAAATAATACATATTTATTATAGAAACTTTAGAAGATACAGATAAAATAAAGAACTATTAGGATTACCTGTACTCTTATTACTGGTGAACCAATAAAATGACCTTACTCCTTTATTAGGAGATGCATTCTGATTTTTTAAAATGTTGTTAAAATATTTATAACTTATATATAATTGCTTAAGATGTTAGAATACTGATTATCTGAAAAATTCCATACTTTAAAATGCTTATAAATTTTCTTTTTTTGAAGGAGAATTATTTAACTTGGGCAGAATACCCAATAATTCAGAATAGGTTGGGAACACAGCAACTGCTAATTTAGCATCAAATACTATAATTGCTACAGCTTAATTGTTTGTGTTAAATGGAAGGCAGTTATAAACCCTCAGGAGTCTCAGTGTAGCCAAATGTATCAGTAACAGGACATTATCTCTAATATATTTGCACAGGTGGAACCGGTGATTTGTTTTCCTCATGCTTCGTGTACTTTAAATCTACTTAATCTATATTTTTAAACTGTCAATCTTTATGCTTATTTTTAAAACCTAATTATATGTGAAGAAGGATGCCCAGGTATCACTTTAAAATTATAGTTGCTCGATGTCAGTGATGTGACAGATTGATGGGTATTCAATTCGGATATGATCATGGTATCGTTACTAGACTTACGGCAATTGTGCTCACTCTGTGCATTTAGGAAACACTTATATGGTGCTGTCTTCCAGGAACTGTTAAAAAGCTTGTTTAATTGTCATGACAAGCCTACGATATAGGCTTTAATTGTCATAACAAGCCTATAGATATTGTATCAATGAGAAAGCTGAGGCACAGAGAATAAGAAAGTTATTGGGGCAAAGGCAGGATTTGGAGGGAGGCAGGTGGGCGCTAATGTTTGTGTGGAATCCCTACAGTTTGCTGCGTCTCCTAAAGGGTCTGACAGTAGCTAACATTTATGATGGGTACTATGTGCCTGACCCTCTATGTGCTTTAGATATATTCAGTAATTTATGGTGATGAGCCACCCACTGGAAATCAAAGGTTCAGATTTTAGCTTCAATTTCGGCAATGAACTGAGAGTGTGATTTTGGGAACCTCATAGTACCTCAGTGGGACTCAGGCTAATGAGCTGATTGGAATAGATTGTTTATCTCCAAAGTCTCTTCTAATTCTAAAGTTTTAGAATATAAAGACTATCTTAATAGTCTTGAAAATAATATTTTTTTGTTATGTTTCTAATTTTAGAATTATTATTTATATCTGGGGACTTCCAATACCCGTTTGGTCATTCCATCTTTTGTTTTCTGGTTGCTCTAGGTTTCTAATTTTAAAATTGAGTACTCACTCTAGATCTTTCATCTCCAAGACTCCTATTCTTGAAAAAGACTTTTGTTTGCTTATTTACACAAATTTGACAGAAAGATGTAGATGCCTTAGATTCAGATGACATTTTAAAGATATAAAGCCCTTTTAGTAAACAGAACAAAACCAAAAACATACAGGAACTTTTAATTTAGGTATTATCAGTTAGTTCAAGGAGCCCAAAGTGTTTTTAATGGTAGTCATCTATAAACAGATTTATATGGCGGCAAAGCTGTCCTATTATGCAAATATATTCTAATTTCCATAAGCAAAGGCATTTTCAGTAAGTATTTACATATGATGTTGCTATATACTTATGCAAATAATGCTAACTTTCACCTAGTCCCAAGTGAGAAACAATTTCTTAGGCTGTTTAGAGACAATATTCTTGGGAATGCCTTAAAGACAGAGTGAGAAAGGTGAGATCTCTAACTCTAAGCCAATGACATGAATATATGATGCTTTTGTTAATAATCATAATGAATAATTCACTGCCTCCATTTGCTTCTCATTTCATCATGGTTTAATATGTTAGAACCATTCTTTGTTTTACAGATAACACCAGGGACAGCACAAAAATTCCAACGGTACCTCAACTTTCCTCTAGAATGAAGGCCATTAAACAAGAGATGGCCAGAAAGCACCTTCAGTTTGTGCGATTTGAAGCAACAGATCTCCATGGGGTGTCCAGGTCTAAGAGTATCCCTGCACACTTCTTCCAGGTGAGTTTTACAAACACAGTTCTGACTGAATGTAATTTCATGACCGTTAGCAAGCAAATGGCCCTGATTACTCTTTCTTAGTTTATTGTAATCCATACAGCAAGTTTAGCTGAAAACCAATACTTTATTTTGTTTCTTCCCTTGTCCCTTCCCAAACACATTATTTCTCCCCAAGGAGCTGAACACATACTTTCATCTCCCAAACAGCCATTCCTTTACCCAGTAGAAATATAAAACTAATTAAGACTGGTAATTTTAGTCCTTCTGCTTTGAATAATTTCCCTCTACAGAATTATCTTTTCTCTCTCACTGCAGTTATGAAGATTATATTTTGTTTGACATGAGAAAATTGCAACAGAAGACCCAGGAGCAAATATAAAAGGAATAAAATAATTAAATAGAAAGAATTTGCTAGATTAAAAGCATATCTCTTTTAGCTTCTAATTCTGATAAGAAATACCCTATCGTCCTTGGATGACTTAATAAATATTGAGTTCTCAAAAATAGTGATATCAAGAAATATTGCATCTTTGGATATGTTCTAAGATTTTTTCCCCCCAGTTTATATCATGTGTTTATTTTAATGACAGGTTTATTGTGCTACTGAAACATCATTTTTAAGGAAGAGACATCAGTCAGTATTANACAGGTTTATTGTGCTACTGAAACATCATTTTTAAGGAAGAGACATCAGTATTCATAAAAAGTATAAAAGTTAAGCATCCTCTAATTAAAAATATATCATTGTTATTACTGTAATATCAAATTGTAACTTTTCTCATTTGCTTTATGTTGGAAAAAACCAGACATCTTCAAAACACCTTTTAAAAAAATGCCAACAGATTCAAATTTGTATCTTAAGAAATTCTTTAGATCAGCCTGCGGATATTGTTTCTTCTTTATCCAGGCAAGAACACATGTTGGTTAATTTTGATCACAAAAATGTGAAGTTTACTGTGGATAGGCCAACAATCTAATTCACATGAATTTCTTTCAATCAATAAGGAAACATAACTGGCACTTCAGGCCCTTGCCAGAGACCTCCATACAAAACTGTTTGCTGTTCAGTTTTTGTCAAATTCTAGTAATTTATTCCATTAATGGCATCTGAATCTACATTTTTTAAAGTCTGACTCTAGTTCCCCAATGGAACTCCTTTATGAAAACATAACTTAATATGCTCCCTACATTTGTTGAGGATTGATATAATCAATGCACAGAGAAAATGTCTGCATTCTATTTTTTAAAATGCTTTTGAAAATATTTTCCACTATCTTGTTCAATGTCCCACATAAGAACCACTTTTATTTTTCTGAAGCTGAGAAAGGGAAAAAGTTTGTCTAGCNGAAGCTGAGATAGGGAAAAAGTTTGTCTAGCATGAAAATTTTAATGTAACTCATTACACTTTATCTCAATTGCTGTTTTTTCCTAACCCCAGTTTTCTAACCCATTTCAGTACCCTTTTCATTACCTCGTTATTATTTTATTCTTATTTAATGATTATACAGTATCTATATATTTTTTAACAAAACAATTCAACTTTATTTTGGAACTTTTGAAGGTATAAATGAGTATTTATTTGCATCATGAATATTTATAATTTAAGATTAAATTCCTTTTGGAAAATTTATCATGGATAGGTTAAAAATAGGCTCATCTGTGCAAACCAATCTAAACATTGTACACACACACAATTCTGTATGGGAAGTTCATTAAACAAAGAATGGAGTCGATAATTTGAATTTGCCAATGGCTTAGAGAAAAGTAATTTTAATCTTTATAAAGTAATTTTAAAACCTTTTTCTATTTGTAGAAAATAAAGTATCAATTTGAAAATTATTGTTAGACCATGAAAGGATATAACAGGTAATTTAACCTATTGTCTTCATTTATACAGGCGGAGAGTAAAGCCCAGGGAAGTTAAGGAAAGCTTTTAAAACATAGGACAGGTAGTTAGTGCTAGAACCTGGATTCCTCACTTCTATTTCCACTGCCTCCCCACTCCCCTTTTTTACTACACCTTCTGTCTCCAGCTCTGCTTTTATATTGTTAATTTGAGCTAAGTGTTCTTTCTTATAAAATTGAAAAAACATTGATTTTTATAAAAAACAAACTATCGACTAAGAATAGAGAAAAAGACCGTTATATAATTGGAAAAGGCCAAATGGGGAACCTCTGATAATGATGGTATCTACTTTTTTATTTTTAAATATGTCCTTATTGATTTCAGAGCAAGAAAGGGAGAGGGAAAGAGAGAGAGATAGAAACATCAATGATGAGAGTCATTGATCGGCTGCCTCTTGTACGCCCCGCACTGGGGATCGAGGCTGCAACCCGGGCATGTGCCCTGACTGGGAATCGAACCTCCATCTCCTGGATCATAGGTCGATGCTCAACCGCTGAGCCATATTGGCCGGGCAGTATCTACATTTTAAGAAAACTCACCATGTGCCTGGAGCTGTGCTCAATGTCTTACAAATATTACTTTATTTATACCTCACAACTAACTTATACTACCTGTTCTGCCAATGGCTTGGTTTTCATTTAAATTATATGCAGATAATATAGATTCTTTCTATCTTTGATTTAATCAAAACATGATATTATTGCTATAGAACTCATAACTAATTCTTTGATTACTTCAAAAGGTGACCTCTACTATGGCCCAGACTTCATTTATCGTAGAGATATGAGCTATTCTGTAAGAATTTTTATTGAGTCCCTGGTGATTTATATTGCAGTGTGAAGTTTTTCTAGCATTTGTATTTATAAACATACTTTAAGATAACGATTGTCACAAACAAGATCTGTATATATACATTTATATATTTCCCACTACTCATAAAGAGTAGTTTGCATTCTGAATGTTCATAAAAGAATAAAGAAAATGACAGTTAGAAAAGAGTGCTCAGGAAAAGACAGATTAAATAACCAGAAGAGTAAAGAATGACTTTTTACTATTCTTTAAATTCATAAAGAGTAAAATGGTAGCAGGTTTTCTCTACTGTTCACAACCAAGTGAATGCAAACACAGATTTAAATTGCAGGAACTCTTGGAGATCTCATGAATAAAATACATTACCCCTCATTTTAGATATAGAACTAACATACAGATTTTCAAACTAAAAATTGACAAGTTAGGGAAATAACATTATTTCTTACAGTGAAAATTCGAATTAAAGGATTTCTTACTAAAGTACTCCAACATCCCGCTGTGTGTGTGTGTGTGTGTGTAAAGTTTATATATATAAGTCCATTAGTGAGTTGAAAAATTAAGCAGCAGATGAATAGTGCTTGTCTTACTCAGCTTTATCGCTGGTAAAAGCAGCTTTGGATCAGCCAAGTTGAATGGCATTTGAAAATATGTGTGGAGATGGTGGAAAGTGAAGGAGACAGCGGTTCACGGTCAAAGGCAGAAGAGTGGACTAGTAGATTGTGTCTGCTAGCACCAGCACCTCTTTGGTAGCCATGCTGTTGGGGTTTGGAGGTAATATGAGAAGCAATCTGGCTTGCAGAATGTCAGTGTGTTTTATGAACCTCATAATGCTCACTGACATCATGGGAACCAGACTTTACAGTCTGTCTTTTCTCCATCCATTAACATAAAACCTTCAACACATGAAGCCTTGTTGCTATTCCTCTTACACAATTTCTAGAAATTGTTTTTTGTGTTTGTTTGGCATTATAACCTCATCACTTTCGTGTTGTTTTGCAAATAGCAAAGTTAAATAAATGACCAAATCCATTGAACCCAAAAGGTATATGGCTAGAAAGTGCCTTAGCAGTCACCTAGTTTAACACTTCTGTTTCGCAGACGTGGATGCCGAGGTACATAGTCCAGTGACTTGCCTAACTTCACACAAATAATTAATGGAAGAGCCAGGACTGGAAGTCAGATTTGGTGACCCCCAGTTCATGGTGATTTGAAGGCTATAATATTTTGGAAATGGTAACTGTTGAGATATAGGTCCACATTCACGGGCAATGTTTCTGGGACTCTGTGAGACTGTGAGGTAGCTAATTCTTAACTGGGATGTAAAAGTGAATGAAGAGAGGAATGCAGCTGTCAGAAGACCTGGCTCCCCTGTGTTAGGATGGCTGTCCTGTCTGTTGTAGGACTGACTACACTCAGCTCTCTGAGAAGGACTGAGAATTCTTTATTGTAGACTTCTGAGAGTCAGTTAACTATGGGGATCACAATAGGACAAGCCAAAGTACAGTATTAGGAACTATGCCATATAATAAAAAGAGCTTTGAAAAATACTTTTGGTTATGTGATCATTTCAAATAGTTCCAAAGGCTTTACTTCACCTCTGTCATTTGCTATAAAGACATTTTACTTACGATGACTATTTTCAGATTCAAGAGCCTATAAAGCCTGTAAGGCTAAAATAATGAGTTGTTGATAAAAGTACCATTGGGGTTTTATTTCAAAATACTTAAAATTAAGTTAATATTAAGTTAATGTTAACTAATAGATGTTAAACACAAATTTTTCCTCAGTAGCAAGTCCCCCCTCCCCACCTTTTCTTTTGTTTTCAAGTTTCGAAACCTAATTGCCCTATTCTTTAACTTCTTCAGGAAAAAGTGATCCACGGTGTTTTCATGCCCCGAGGTTATCTTGAATTGATACCGAATCCCAAAGACAAAGAAGTGGATCACATACGAGCCACATGTTTTAACAGCGACATAGTCCTGGTGCCAGAGTTGTCAACCTTTAGGGTTTTGCCATGGGCCGAGAGAACGGCCAGAGTGATATGTGACACATTCACTGTGACGGGCGAGCCTCTGCTGACTTCCCCACGGCACATCGCCAAGAGGCAGCTGCGCCAGCTGCAGGACTCGGGCTTTTCCCTGCTCTCGGCGTTCATCTATGACTTCTGCAGTTTTGGTGTCCCCGAGATGATCAATCCAAAGGCCCTCTCCTTCCCGGCTGCCACGCTGCTCAACGACCACGACCAGCCCTTCATCCAGGAGCTGGTGGGTGGTTTGAATCGCACCGGGGCCAGCGTCGAGAGCTTCTCCTCCTCCACCAGGCCTGGGCAGGTGGAAATCTGTTTTCTGCCCCAATTTGGCATCAGTTCAGCGGATCATGCATTTACCCTCAGAACAGGCGTCAAAGAAGTGGCCAGGAGATACAATTACCTCACCAGCTTCTTCATCGAGACTGGGTTCTGCAATTCAGGCATTTTGTCTCATAGCCTCTGGGATGTCGGAGGAAAGGAAAATATGTTCTGCAGCCCTGGAGCCGGGCAGCTCGCAGGGGCTGGGGAGCGATGGCTGGCCGGGCTCCTGAAGCACTCGGCCGCGCTCAGCTGCCTCCTGGCCCCTGCTGTCAGCTGCCGAAAGCGCTACTCCAGGGACAGCAAGGACCAGAAGGCGAGCGTGCCCGCGACCTGGGGCTATAATGACAACAGCTGCGCTTTTAATATCAAGTGTCATGGGGAGAAGGGCACCCGGATAGAAAATAAACTGGGGTCAGCAACAGCAAATCCGTACCTGGTGCTGGCCGCGACCGTAGCAGCAGGTTTGGATGGACTTCAAGGCAGCGACGGTGCCTTGGCTGGTCCCGAGGACAGCACCGAGCTTTATCAATCGAAAGCTCCTGAGATCCCTTTGAAACTGGAAGATGCCCTTGTGGCGCTTGAGGAAGATCAATGCCTGAGACAGGCTCTAGGAGAAACTTTTATTCGGTATTTTATTGCCATGAAGAAGTATGAGCTGGAAAATGAAGAAACAGATGCTGAGAGAAATAAATTCTTAGAGTATTTCATTTAGAATGGATCCCTTAACTATTCCTTTAGAGTTGTGATTTTTTTTTTTTTTTTTTTTACTTAAGTAGCTGATCTATCTACCAGAGAGAAAAGATTGAACTTTTGTAATTAACAAGAACATTACAAATGCTGTGGCTCTTTTATTTTGTCCCCATGGACTATTTGACAGACGAAGTGGGTTGCTAAGAGGATTCTGATAACAATAAAGTTGCGGTGGAGCTGCAATATGCAAACTTACCATTTCCTCTGTGTATGTTGAGCTAGATAGAAATATTCAGGTTTTTTTCAGGCAACAAATATATTCACACAATAAAAATGTCTTAAGAATTAGAAAGCAAAATTTACATCACTTAAAAAAGAAATAATTTCAATTATNTTTTAAGTTTTTTTTTTTTTTTTTTTTTTTTTTTTTACTTAAGTAGCTGATCTATCTACCAGAGAGAAAAGATTGAACTTTTGTAATTAACAAGAACATTACAAATGCTGTGGCTCTTTTATTTTGTCCCCATGGACTATTTGACAGACGAAGTGGGTTGCTAAGAGGATTCTGATAACAATAAAGTTGCGGTGGAGCTGCAATATGCAAACTTACCATTTCCTCTGTGTATGTTGAGCTAGATAGAAATATTCAGGTTTTTTTCAGGCAACAAATATATTCACACAATAAAAATGTCTTAAGAATTAGAAAGCAAAATTTACATCACTTAAAAAAGAAATAATTTCAATTATATAGATAGGCTGTGACTGCCAGGGAGATAAAAATACTTGCTAATATAATCTCACTAATCAAGACATACTGAGGATCTATTTTGCAAGCAGCAGCATCGTGATGTTTCTAAATAAGTTAAATAAGCTTTGCAAAACTATGTCATGATGACAAGTCAGCAGAAGTGTTCCCATATGTCCCTTCTCTTCTTACCCTTCTTTGTTAGCCCTTGAAAGGCCGAGGACCTTCAAGGCTATAAGGGCCACAAGAAACAAATCCACAGGAAATAGAATTCAGACTGGGAACAATGCAGTCAAATATTTAAAACCATTTTTTAAAAACAATGCCTCATCTAGAAGCCCAGTATATAAAATACAAGTAGCATGGGTATGTGTGTGGGCCTGAGTCGACTCTGGGCTTTGCTCCCTTCATTATCTCTGAAAACTAGAGATTTCAGAGATAATGCTGGTGCTTTGTGAAGTGTGAGAACAATTGCCTAGACAACTAGGGCTACATTTGCAGCTGAAATTTGTATTTAAATTACTGATTCTGGGACCCACAGAGGTTGGTATTGCTCCAGAGACTATTTGTTCCAGACCTGAATGGGATAATACTGTAACTATCACTAAAGTTTAGCTTCTTTTGGGGAAAAAATCCAAAATCCACTTACTGGCTAATGAAAACCCTATTCTAGTGCTTAGGATCAAACAGGAGATTTTGTGTTCAATTAAAACTGACTGTGTTCTCAATTTAGATAGCAAACACACAATCCAAGGATTAGAATCAGACTCAGACTCTCTTATTCAACTTTGTAGTAGAGCAGTCCCTCCTTGTCTGTGGGATTACATTCCAAGACCCCCCAGCGGATGCCTGGAACTGAGGATAGGGCTGCACCCTATATACGCTATGTTTTTTCCCTATGCATAGATACATACCTTTTCACTTAAAGGAAGCACTTGGTGCTTCTCTTTAGCATATCCGAATTACAGCATCACTACTCTTGCCCTTTGGGCCATTATTAAGTACAATAAGGGTTACTTTCGCACAAGCACTGTGATACGGAGACAGGTGATCTGCTGACCCCCCTGGCTACTGAGTGACCCTTGGAGGGACAGCATGGACAGCATGGATACGCTGGACAAAGGGATGATTCATGTCCTGGGCAGGACAGAGCGGGCCAGTGTGGGATTTCGTCACGCTACTCAGAACGGCTTGCAATTTAAGACTAAAAAATTGTTTATCTCTGGAATTTTCCATTTAATATGTTAAAACTGTGGCTCAGATAACTGAAACCTTGAAAATTGGAACCGCAGATGGGGAGGAGGGGACTACTTTACTCAGTAGCTTAAACAGTGACAGTTCTGTCCACTAATTGCTCCCCTCGCTTCTCCTTTGAGCAGAAATGTGTTTGAATACATGAGAATAAGGTTTTTTGTGGATTAAGTGGTCGAGAGGAAGGTAGTGTAGGGTGGGTAGAGCAAGGAAAGGAATCTTCCCTGACACCTCTGAGAGCGAGATCCCACACATTACATCATGGCGGGGAGAGGGACCCCATGGCAGCTTGCTAGTTGTCTGCCAATGTTCATTCTCCCCCTCTTCTCAGTAATAACATCTAAATATGTCAGTTGGGAACACACTATGAAAAATAATCGTGACATTTCTGAGCTTCCATTGTGGCTGAGTATGGTCATGTCATTATGTCCAGGCCAAAGACATGTAAGTAGAAGTGCTGCGTGGAAGCGCTGAGAAACTTCCTTAAAGGACAGATGCTCTGCTCCCGGTCCTTTCCCCATCTTTCTGCCTTTGCCCTTCCCGCTGGCTGGCCTCAGGTACGGCACGCCCTTGGGAATGGAGGCCACGGCAGGAGTAACGAGATGGAAGCTCTACTTTGTGGAGCAGAACTAAGTTTGCCCATATTCAGATTTTTATCAGAGAGAAAGACACTTCTTTCTCCTTTAAGGGACATGATTTTGGGTCTTTGTTATTTGTTATATTCCCTCTTACTTGTGTGTGAGTGTGATTGTATATGTGTATACGAGTGGTATATCTGAGTGTACTTGTGTGTGGGGAATCTGAGAAATTTGGGTATGAAAGAATAAAGATACAAGACGTGAAAGCCTACTTCCTCAACTTTCCCACTTCTGCAGAGGAGAATCTGCGTTACTGGGATCCACACATGCAAAAACTTCATCATCTCACACCCTACTAGAGCTCTAGACACACATCCACAGTCCATGGGCCTTTATGAAACATGCCTCATGTTTTGGCTTGGTTTTACCTCAGTGGGTTGCAGATGTTATAAAAACCTCTGCTAAAGAGCAAACACACAAAATCTCATGTGCAGCCACACATCCTGGGCTACGGTGGAGGGAAGGCAGAGCAGACTGGAGTTGTGTGAAGAGAGACTGGGGTTTGCGCTCTGGGGAGAGAGCTGAGGGGACAGCCACCATGACCCCTGCGCTGGGTCACCCTCCTGCACTGCAGAGGGCATCTTTCTTGGGTGGAGCACTTGGCTCCAAGACTTGCAACCAACGGAGCAACAAGCAGCGGCAAAGGATCTCCTTTTGCCTCTGTGACTTCCTTTCCTGAGTCCTCTCCGCTGCTGCCCCATAGCCTGCCCACTCTCTGCCTCTCTGAGTGTGTACTGTCACTTCTTGCTCTAATAAATCTTGCCACTATCACTTAAAACCCCCCCCACAAAACAAACAA